GGTATGTGTGTGGAATTGTAGAGGTTTGGGGGGACCCTATACGATATCCCAGGTAAAAGAGATCCTTAGGACTCACCTCCCTGATCTCATTTTTCTGTTTGAAAAAAAAAAATGTTGAAAATGTCTGCAAAAATTTGAAATTGAGTGATAGATGGCATTATGTGTCTCCTATAGGTAAGAAAGGAGGGATGTTATTATGTTGGTCTGGTAAGATCTCCATTCAGGAGATTTTGTGTTTTGATTTTTGCATTATGGTTAAATTTCTCATCAGTGGTTTTGATAAGATAATCTGGGGGATCTTTGTTTATGCAAGTAATGACTCTCAAATGAGACAGAATCAATAGGAGATTTTAGTTAGGCACAGTCTCACCTGGGGTGAGTATTGGTTTGTGGGGGGAGATTTCAATGACCTTCTGGATAATTCTGAGAAGAGAGGAGGTATTCTGAGGGATGAATCTAGCTTTAGGATCTTTAGGGGATTTGTGCAGACCATGGGTATGATTGGAATCAATCCTATTGATAATCAATTTACCTGGGCCCATAACAGAAAAGGGAAAGACTTTGTGGAAGAAAAATTGGATAGGATTTTTATTTCTCCTGAATTAAATTTGGTCTTGCATGATCCTTTGGTTAATCACATTCCTATGCTTTCTTCTGACCATAAAGTTGTCATCTTATTTACTAAGGAGGCAGTTACTAGGAGGAAGAAGCAGTTTATTTTTTATGTTAGGTGGGCCAAAAAAGAGGGCTTTGAAGATGCTGTGAGAGGAGGGTGGAATTTTTCTGTGGAGGGCCCACCCTTGTTCAGTATCCAGAAGAGGTTGAAAAATGTTAAAAACAACTTACTGAATTGGGTTGGGCAGAACCAGACTAATTATATTGTGCTCATTGCTGAGCTTATTGGTAAGATAGAAGATCTGGAGCTCATGGGAGGGGATAGAGATTGGGATGAGTGGGGTATTTGTAGAGATAGATTGCACAGGGTCTATGGTGAAGAAGAGATACTTTGGAAGCAGAAGGCTAGAGTTAGCTGGTTAAAATATGGTGATAAGAACACCAAATTTTTCCAGGCTAGTGTTAGGCATAGAAGGAAGATTAATTCTCTTGATAATCTGAAAAAAGCTGATGGCAATAGATGTGAGTCAGAGGAGGATATTGTGGTAGAGTTACAGAGGTATTTTGGGGATCTCTTCAGATCCTCAAACCCCATTGTGGACAATTGTAGCCTTGAGGGAATTCCCATTTCCATCAGTGATGATATCAATTCTAAATTAATCAAAGAGGTCAGTGTCTCTGAAATTGAAGATGCACTACTGGAAATGGAACCCCTCAAAGCCCCTGGGATTGATGGGTGGAATGCCTCCTTCTTTCAAAATTCTTGGAGTTGTATTAAAATCATCTTTGTTGTGTTGTGCTTAATTCTTTTAGAAAGGCAAGATGCCTAAGGGTTTGAACCATGCAACTATTACTCTGATTCCTAAGAAAACCAACCATGATAAAGTATCTGAATTTAGACCCATTAGTCTGTGTTCTGTAGTTTATAAAATCATATCCAAGGTGATTGCTAACAGACTGAAACATGTGCTTAACACTTGTATATCCCCTACTCAATCTGCTTGTGTTCCTGGTAGATACATTATTGATAATTCTGTTATTGCTAATGAATGCATTCATTTTCTAAATAGCAAAAGAAAGGGTAAAGACAGTTATATGGCTATCAAGCTTGATATGGCCAAGGCTTATGACAGAGTAAAGTGGGATTTTCTTGTTAGGGTTTGTCAAAAGATGGGCTTTCATGTTAAATTTATCTCTTGGATTTTAGCTTGTATTTGCTCAACCTCTTTCTCCTTCAATACAAATGACAATCCTTCAGGTTATGTCCTTCCCTCTAGAGGATTGAGACAAGAGGACCCACTGTCCCCTTATTTGTTCATTATCTTGACTGAAGCATTCTCAAACCTGATCAAACAAGCCTGCATTAGATCTGAGTTCCATGGCATCAAGATTAGTAAGCATGCTCCTTTGATTTCACGTCTCTTTTTTGCTGATGATTCCATCTTATTTTGTAAAGCTTCTGTATCTCAGGCCAATTCTAAATAGAATATCTTAGATGAATATGGTAGAGCTTCTGGGCAGCTAGTCAACTTAGATAAATCCTCTTTTTTCTTTTCTAAGAACATTTCTCCTGAGACTGGTGATGAGATTTGCAATACTCTGAATGGGATCTCGAGGGTTTATTCTTCCAAATATTTGGGACTTTTATTGGGTGTGGGAAAAAACAAGAGAGAAACTTTTCAATTTATCAGTGACAGAGTGAAACAAAGAGTGTGTAGCTGGAAAAATAGATTTCTGAGTGAGACATGAAGGGAGGTTTTAATTAAATCTATCCTTGATGCCCTCCCTACCTTTGTGATATCCTATTTCAGAATTCCTGTGGCTGTTTGTAGGAGTATCTGCTCTGATGTTGCTGGGTTTTGGTGGGGTAAGGTGGGGAGGGTAGTAATAGGATCCACTGGGCTTCTTGGGATAAGGTTGCTAAGTCAAAAGAGAGAGGGGGGTTAGGTTTTAGGGATTTGAGAGTTTTTAATGAGGCTATGCTGGTCAAACAACTTTGGAGATTGATCACTAAACCTAATCTTTTAGTTAGCAGAGTGCTGAGAGGTAAATATTTTTGAAAAGAGAATTTCTGGGAGGTTAAGCCTAAGAGTGCAGACTCTTGGATTTGGAGGTGTTGTTTAGAGGCTAGGAAGTCTTTGCAATTAGGGGTTAGATATAGAGTGGGGGATGGTAAATCTATAAACCTTTGGAAGTCTCCTTGGCTCCAAGACAATTCCCATTTCATTCCTAAGTGCAACTTCTCTAGTGATTTGGAGAGGGTAGAGAGAGTGGCTGAGCTTATTGATAGTACTAAGAGTGAGTGCGATATTGAGCTGATTAAACAGACTTTCAGTCCAGAGGATGCTGAAATTATTCTCAACATCCCATTAAGCCGTTGTAGGCTGAAGGATAGATTAATATGGCATTGGCACACCAAAGGAGAGCTGACAGTGAAAAATGTGTATGACTTTTTGATGATGTGTGAGGCTAGGAAGGAAGCCAGTTCTAGCAAGCCCAACTCAGTATCCCAGAAAATGTGGAAGAATACTTGGAAGTTACCTATTGCAGGTAAAATCAAAAACTTCTTATGGAAATGCTGGTTCGGGTATGTTAGCACTGGGATTAGGTTGAATCAAAAAAAGATATTGTGTGATGTGTGGTGTCCTCTCTGTGGGGAGGAAAAAGAGGATGTTGAGCATCTGCTATTCCAGTGTAGTAGAGCCCAAATCTGTTGAAAGTTGTTAGGGATACATTAGGATAAACTGGCAAATCATCAAAGCAATTTCAGAGATTGGTGGTTTGATACATGTTCCAACAGCATTGATGAATGTGTCATTGATAGAATCAGTCTTTCAAGCTACCTATTGTGGTGGCTTTGGAAGACTAGAAATGCTTGGGTTTTTGAGAAAAAATGGACCTCAGAATATGCTCTAGTAAAAAATGCAGTGTATTGTTGGAATGAATTCTCTAATTCCTGGAAAAATAGAGACATGGCCAAATGTGGGCTAGACAAAGCTAAGAAACAAGAAGCGGAAGAGATTCAGCTGGGGGTAGGGCAGCCTATGATAGCTGTCAGTGCCTTAATTTCTCCTACTGGTTGGCTGGGTTTGGGAGGAGGTATCTTCTGCAGTGAGTCCATAACGCAGAGCTAGTCAGAAGCAATCGAGTTCACAAGGAAGACTGAGGAAGGCATGCTTAGAGGAGTAAGATGGATTTTAGAGAAAGTGGCTCCACTCAAGTTAACTTCTCTTTGGTGTTGTGTGGAGGCTAAAGATCTTGAATTAAAGCTTAAGGACAAACAACATTTCCAATGTGATTATGGAGTCATTGCTGAAAATATATACACTCTGGTGTCTTCCTTTGAGTGTTGTAATTTTCTTTATGTTTCTTCTTTGAGTAGTGCTTGTAGTAGGTTGGCCAAAAGGGTTGTGGAGGGGTTGTAATTTGTACTTCCTCGTTTGGGTATCTTCTTTGTTAGATTGCTTGTATCTGTAGTCAGTTGACTATTCGGTTGTACTTTCATATTTGAGTTTTAATGCATTTCAGTTGATTTGGGAAAAAAAAAGTCATTTTAAGCGCTCGTTGCCATAATTTTTATTATACAAATTAAAATTCAACATAATAATGGTACTAAAATCAATTCCTTAAACTTTTAAAAAATAATGCGATCCAGAAACATTATACTCCCTCCGTTTACTATTAGATGTCGTTTTGACTTTTTTTATTCATCCATTTTGCTATATATCTAGACAATAATTAAAAATAGCAAAATGGATGAATTAATAATATTAAGCGACATCTAATATGTCTAGATACATAGCAAAATGGATAAATCAAAAAAGTCAAAACGACATCTAATAAAAACTGAGGGAGTATTAATGTATAACACCCGAAAGTCATTTTAAAACTACCAATGCACATTCAAAAGTTTTGAAAAATTAAAAATAATGTTTATATTTTGATGTAAATAATTCTTATTTCAATACTCGTGTACGGATACTAGTATCTAGTATATCTCGACAGCGTCATATACCAAACCGATTTACACATATTAGGTTACCAAAATACAGAGCAAGCAACAATTACTCTTTTTTTTTTTTTTTTAATATAAAATACTACCAAGACCAACAGTCCATAATTCAGTAAAGAGGGAATTGCTACAAAATGCTATCCATGAACACCCACATCATCATAAATACATCATTATTTGAAAGCTCTATACATTCCATAAAACAAAGCTCAAATGTCAACCTCAAACATACATCTGAAAACTCTATATTTAGCCACACAGCCATCATTAAGTCACATTATATTTTATTTCCGCTTAGTAAAATGTTATTTAATTTTTTTTTTCAATATCATTCCACGGAAATAAAATTTGACACAATAAAAAAAAAAAAGGTTTATTTGGGCAAGCATGTATCTTTGTTGGGGTCCTCACCTTTATGCAAGCTACAAGAGTCGCAAGGGGAGTTTTCTTGTGTCACTGCACCTGTACTATCATTATCTTGGTCCCCAAATAAATAAGATAAAGACAATGGATTATATGTCGAACTTGCCTTCTTAAACCCTTGTATAGCCTTAATTGCAGCAAGGGTACTCTTGTAAATATCCGTAGCTTCCTCCCCAAACGGCATTTTTGTTTCTGAGGATGTGTTCGTTTGTTTCTGGTGGGCAGTGTTGGATTCAACAATTTCTGCTTCCAAAGGGAAAAGGAGCTCAAGATTTGCCTCACAGTCACGGACTAATCTTGTAAGGGGATCGGTGGTGAAGAACGGCTGGTGAACGGCAAGTTGAGTGAAAGGTAGACTCAATAACCCTCCAGTTCTTTTGTCGTATTTCTTTAGTATCTTGATGAGACCTAGTTAAAAACGTAAAGGGAACTTTTCAATCAAAATGAAAAACCATGACAAGTACTTCTAAAGAAATACGAGTTGAGGTAGGCATGTTATTAAAAATATGATCCACTAATGACGTTGAAATGAGGCATGACAATAGGAACAAAGTCATACATATTAATTTGACAAAAAAAAAAAAAATGAAAATAGTAAGAAAGCTTGAGCAACCCACCTCATTCGTTAACATAAACTTCCAACTAGTTTCCATAAGTACAAAGACCTTTAAAAGAGTTTATTTTATAATTTTCACTTCTGGAAGGACATTTGATAAAAAAAGTAGAACAGTGTATTGTATGTTATAGTTACCTTGATGTCATTGGTACTAAACAACAAAATGAAAAAGACAAAACTACTTGATTATTAAAATAGCTAAATTTGAATATTACAAAAATAATGCTTAAATTTTCATTTTGTCTGATATTTTGTCCCAACCTGCATGATGGAGTTGCTGAAATCATCAAATACTTCACATTAACAGCCCTAAACTTTTGTAAGGAAGAAATTTGTAAGATGTATGCAATCATATAAAAAACTTTATTTATTTATTACTATTCAAATGCAAGATAATTTTCATTAGCTCAACAACTACAAGTGTAAATGTAAGATCAATATGTCCTCGAAAATCAATTTTCGAAAGTTTCATAATTAGCCGTATTTCTGTCATTTGACCAAACCACAAGAGTAATCTTTCACAACTGTCGCTATTGAATTCTTTAGTGGTTAGGCACTTAGACCAGGGTAGTTCATACTCATCCATAATGATAATATGCATTGGTTCTTTTACCAGCAAAGTTGAGGGAACTGTAGTTCTTCAGAAGGACCATCTCGCCATGAATGGCAACAAAGTCCTTACGTATCTCCATCATCTCTCGGCTAAATTCAGTCTCCGAGGTAAACACCCCACCTGTACCTACTCTGGCCTTCACTCGTTCAATTCTTTCCTTTAATGCCTGACATAAGAACACAGAAATGTGCAGGGGGGAACCACATTATACGTAATTGTGATTTTAAAACAATGGTGCATAGACGTAAATAAACAACTACAATCTCAGTTTGCCTACGCCTACTACCTAGGCATCAGTTACACCTCAAATATTTGAATAATAGCTTTTCCATGCATTGAACTAGTTTCACCATTAATTTTCATTACCAATGACCGATTAAAAGGGACATCAGAGAATGACAATTCTTTCTAGGAATTTTTCTTTAAGGCATAAATTTCTAGTGCCGGGGTTCTAAAACTGTTAATTTTTTTCTCTACAGCACCACAAGTAAGTGAGATTGTTGTTCTAGCATAAATGAATCTCATTTGGCCATCCAATCATCTAGCTTCCTCGTTCTAGTCAACTTTGACGAGCCAACAAGAGAACATACTGTCTTACTCATTTGGCCCCAAAAGACATGTCAAACTTCCTATGTTGTGTTCTGGCCTTTGAAAAACAAATAATTTGCAGGTGCAGTTTCTCGTCCCAGAAAAGCTCACCCACCTCCATGGATACGAGGTGAAACAGTAGACACACTAACTTCCAATATTTGTGAGGAAGGAAATTACACTAAGTAAATATTCTACTTTGAGTTAAACCATCAAAACTGACAAACCTAAGATCAATATGAAACCAACTACAGAGAATCTCAAATTAATAGAACCAAAAAGAGATTAAATTCACCATCAAATTTACCAGTACAAAGGCATAGATACAAGCTGCTGAAACGATTACAAGGATAGATATCGAATTTCTGAACTTCACAACATCGGGTAATTAAACAGATACAGAAAATTAAGGCATCAGAAGAAAGGGAGAAAAGAAAACCTGGAAGCGGATGATAAATTCCTCCTCCTTATCGACATAGAAATCGTTGAATTTTTCGAGCTCCTCGTTTAGAATCCTAACGAACCAATCGTGAAGCTCCGGCAGGGTGCGTCCGGGCGGAGGATTGTCGGTGACGGCGGGCGGAATATTCTTGAGAAGCTTCTTCAAAGGCTTGTACGACAAATACTTGTCCCTCCATTCCGGTAGGGTTTCCTCCAAATGTATCCTGAATTCCTTCCCAAATTTCATCACTTTCGTTATTCCCTCTGCTAAAATTGATAGAATGATATTATCTATTGAAGTTGATAATGGTTGAAGGAAGTGTTTACCCTGAACTGGAATCTAACAAAGTATAATTGATGATGACGGGCATCAGAAAGAAGTGATGGTCAATTCATGCTTTTTAGGTGAAACTGAGAAACATCGTACCTTTTCTTTTCCTAATAACATAAAATTTTAACTTATTATTACCTAAAATAGTATGTAAAATTCTTTTAAACATTTTATTTAAAAATGTATTAAATTTAAAAAATTTTAAAATAATTTAATTTTAAATGAAAAAACTATAGATTTTATTTCCTTCTCCATATGAATTTGTTAAAGTAACTATTTTTTATTTCATCGGAAACTTTTAGGAACATAAATTCATTTTTTTTCTTATTATAGAGAATATTTTAAAATTTATTTAATATTCCTTTTTTATAAAACAAAAAACATTGTCTCATATATATATATACTAGATTGGACCCGGCTGTGCACGCACAGCCGGCCCTAGTCCAGTCTATAATTATATCTAGTATTTGTAAAATTTTTTAAACACACTTGCCAACATTTTATGGAGCAACCAAAATGCCACATATTTTTTTTTGTTCAAAATGTTTTTAACAAATATTTTTTTTTTCAACAATTTTTTTACCACTCTTGTGACTCATTTGTCTGTAACATTCAAACAAATTTCTCAAAATAATTTATACTTTAAATCATTCTCATTCCTCAGTTTATCAGAACCTAATAAAACATGGGTATAAAAATTTGCAATTTTATGGTACACTTTGTAGGGGAGAAGACACCCCTACAACTTTGTATTGCCATGAAGGATCTAAAACTGCTTCCAACTGTTGCACCATCTTCTGTTTTGTTAACAATAGATCAACACCACTCGACAATCAATTTCAGATTGACATTTATCATTCTCATACACTTCTAAACTAACAAAGCTAGAAAGTAGCTCAGTTAAATTATAAACAAAAGAAATGAGATGTGGATAAATTACAGTAGCTGCGACTCTTGGACTCATCCTGGTTCCCAAGACAAACTGTTCCCTCAATGCAACAGATTCAATGAAGCTACGCAAGCTCTTTTAAGTCCTTTTGTGATATATAAATTCACCTAAAGTTGTAATGAAAATTAAACAAACAAATACAGATAAAATTATCATATAAAATTTTGGAAAAGAAAAAGTGCTAAGCATATAAAGAAAAATGCAATTAAACCTAAAGAATATCCATTAATTTAAGAGAGTGTAAAATTAAGTGAAAGATTACAAGAATGCTGGAATTCATAATACTTCAACACAATTATTCTTTTTTTTAAAAAAACAAAAACACAAAATGTGCAAAGCAAACATAATTGTAATATTTAACCAAAATAATGATAGATAGGGGTCTATACTTATCAATTTTTCCTTAGTCATCAAATGAAACTAAAGCTAACAAAAAAGGGATACAGAACCCAACGAACAATGAAGAAATACAACCTCTCAAAGGACAATGATCTAATTGGATCCTCAATGACATTGATGCCGATGGAAAACATGAGTCGGATACATCCGCTCAATTATCAGAAAAATACAAGTACGAAAAAGCCCCAGGCACGAGCCTTCTACAACCACTCCATCTTTGAAGTATTCAATTAAGAAAGATTTTTCCTCGTTAATTTAAGGATTGCAATAGAAGCCAAACCAAAAACCGAATCAAAATAAGATGAACTAAACGATCATCATCAAACCAAAAAAAGAGTCACACAATATAAGCCAAGCGATCTACCAAATCCTTGAAACAAAAGAGAAGAAAACAAAGAACGAATGAAAAAAAAGTATTACAACACCAACTAAAATAATGCATAAAAAATAACACGAAGGGTACCTCTCATTGATGCTCTCCGGCCTCTCTCTTTCCTCGCGGAATCATCACCACCCGATTCACCTTTCTTCTCACCATCACCATTCCCCATATCACTCTCACTCGCAGTCTTCCACTCGGAATCATCACTCGTGTCCACAGCCATCACTGGGCCCGCCCTCGCACAAATGCCGCCATGCTTAGCGGCAGCCTGCCAAAATAGCCACGCGGCCCTCATCTGTTTCCTCACGAGTTGCGCAGCAAAATCCGGGATCTTTTTCTGCCTCAACGAAAGTCCGAATCAGCCTAGAGGGAAAATTCGTTCACAAACAGAATTGCATCCAGAAGGCTCTCCTTGGTCATCCCGGGCATGTCGAACGCTTGGGCCTGCCTCGACAGGCTCCTCCCGCCGCTTTTAGCCGCCAACAACTGTTGCAGCAACAGGTGGCACTGGGCCCGATTCATGTGAAGTACAACTCTCTCCTTCGGGCTCAGTGCCACTTGTTAATCTTATAAAGTAAGAACTAATAAGCAATCAACATCTCATGAGCTTAACATTGTAAAATAAACATTTAACTTTTTTTTTTAAGTTATTTATTCAAATAAATTTTTTCTATTACAGTAAAGCACTATTCTAAAAATGTCTAGGCGGCCGAAGCCATTAAAACTGTTTTGGCCCAAATCAATTATTCCATATTACCCCCAAAGCAAATTTATTTTGCAAATTGACCAAAATCACACTTGTAAAAATAAACATATGAATAAATCTCAAGCAAAGCAGAGAATCAGTCTGCAATCTGTCTAACATTGAAACTTTTTTGTTCCAGTGAAAATATGTATTTGCTCGAAATCTTCTATAGAAACTCAAACAGAAAAACGTAAAAATTATAACTTTTATTGAGACCTCACACACAAATGATTATTACGTAGACATACTGAACAACAATATCTTGCGTTTGTAAAGACAATGGTATTTATATAATGTATATCTCTACAAGATTCATGGTCAGTCGTGTAAACGATCATTGAAGAAGACTTGCTCATACTTGAAAGAGGTTAGTATTTCAGGAGAAAATTAACTTTAACCATCATACATACTCATATACTTTTTACAAATACAAAGGATGTGCTTTTCTTTATCGCCATCCATGCTAAATGGCAGACCGACATGTCACCCACATCACTTTGCACACAAGGACAATAAGGACAAGATAAAATAATTGCGAACCATGTAGTACCAACGGTTGAATTCTCAGTTACAAAAGTGATTAGATGCTACTACAACTCACCTCCATAGGTTTTTATAGTAATCTGTAACAACAACCACTAAATCAAGGAAATGCTTGTAGAAGTATCGAGTAAAAATAAACATCAAGTAAATGTCCATCAAAAAGTGCCTTAATGGAACAATATGAAAGGTTAGGCTGTTAGGCTCCTATTTCTTTCAAACAATAAAAGAAATGAAACAAGAATAGAAGGAAAGAACCCCAAACGAAGTTTATATTTGTTAATAAGATACAAATTCACATGATGGAATATATTTAGAATATAAAAAGATCGAAGTTCAGATGCACAACTGCAAATAACGACATGAACTTCTAAACAATGAGATAATTTTAGAGTTCAAGAATATGTTGAATTTTTTGTTTGGCAGGTAGAACACGAAAAAATAAGAAAAAATTATGTATTCCTTTTTAAATTGCCCTACAATCTTAACTTTTAATCATGCAGCCCTACCTTAGTGAAGAAGAACCACAAAATTTATTTGTTGACGATCGTGAAATTTTCGCTGCACAGATAGTTGGACTCGTTGGAGATATTGCTTATGGAAGGACTGTCCGCTCACTCGCCTATTTGGTCGCCAAGATGGTCAAATCTTGTTGGATTTGGTGATATTTTAGAGTGTATTCTTGTTGGATTCAGAATGTCCGGATTGTTCAGTATAGATAAATTACAAAGCTGCATTAGGAAGATGATAAAGTGAGGTTATTTTAGGTATATCATATTTTTACTTATATAATATGTAAATAAACAAGTAAATAAATAAATAATGTTGTAGATAGATATATATCTGGCATTGGCATATAGTGTCTACTTTGAAATTTGGAATATAAAGTCCTACTTGTGGATACCTCTCATATATATCATCAAACACTTCTTGGAATTCCTTAACAATAAGTGTCCCGGAGCTGTCCTTATCGACTTTATTGAATATAACATATATCTTACTGCATATGTAAAATAGTGGCAGTTAATTAAAGCAAACTCAATAAGAAGATTTTTCTACTTGACACAATTTTTACGGTCTATAGAAGGCAAAAGAACAACATGTTCCATTACGAAGTTAAATAAAGTAGCATGCGTGGCATAATAGATGCACCTTCATTTATCTTGATATGGAGCTAAGGTGTTAGGTGTGATTTTAAGATAAAAGAAATGATTAATGAATACCACGACTTTTGCGTTTATTTATAGTGGCACAATCTCCGAGTGCGTACATGTTGTCACTTCCTTCTACTCGCAGTGGGAACATGAATTCAGTTCTGTCGGCAAAAAATCAGAGCAGCAAAAAAACGAATAACCATTCATAAAGTCCATTAATGAATAACCATTTGTTTTTCACTACTCAATTTTTGAAATCAACTCGGAAGAAACGAATAAATAGAACAGCAAAAAACTCATAACATATATTTTCATAACCGCATATATGCACTTTGAAGCTATTACCTGACCGATTTGCTTCAGATAGTCCATTATGACAGGGCGAGTACTGATTCCGACTGACCACACAACCATTCCATATGGCATAATGAACACGGCCCCGCCGTTTTTCAATTCTTTGGTGGATATGTCTTTTTGCGATACTTTGAGGACCATCTTCCAGGTTTTAACATCTATCCCATCCCTCTGAAATTATTCCTCGGCAAAAGCCGTAATTCTTTTGTCAAACCTGGACCACATGTCTTGCATTAAGACCACAACTAATGAGGTAATATCTATAAATTCGACAAATGCAGATATAATCCAAAAAACTAACATGTCTCCCACTTGCCGAGTGCTTCCCGGTATTTTCCTTCTTGCATAAATTAACTTATGAACATTTACAATGTACACAGTGATTTAACCAAG